TGGGCATTGGTCTCTGTGAGTTTCTTCACCACCCCCTAAGACATAACTCTAATAAATTCATATAAAAATATGTTATATGGTTTGTCTGATAGTGCAAGAGACCCTGAGAGAACTCTGGCAACAAATTTGGTACAGCCGGCAGGGTGGCATTAAAAATGACAAACCATGGAAGTTGGTAAACAGCTAGAGAGCTGATGACATGCTGATGTGGTTTTTACAATGGATTATAAAATCTGTAACTAAAAAGAAGCCAGCCACACAGACGCATGGGCCACAGCTATGTTGTAAATGTGGGGGTATGTGGCAGGTATGTGAAGATTTGTTAAAGGTTATCCAAAGGATAGAAAAACTTTTACTCCCAAGTGGAGTGTCCAGAGAGGGGGGGATGGCCACTTTGCATAATAAAAGATGTGCCCCAGGCAGGGGAAGCTAAAAAGACTAGGGAGGTCCTGGAAGACCCAGTTGCATAGCTGGAGAGAGAAAAAATGTGGGACACTTTGACTTGTGTAAGGTACAAGGATTCAGAGGAAAAGACAGATAGTAGTAAAAATGAAAATGACCTAAAAACAAAAGTAGCTAAATCTGCCCCTCAGATTCAACCTTGGTACAAAAGGAATAAAAATCTAACTGTGCTGTAGCTAGGAAATACTCCATGCTAAAACTGTTAAAACTAGGAAAAACTTACAAGCAAGCAATCAGAGAGCCCCTGGCCACATGGCTTGTGAGAATATGGGACATGGGAGCAAATGATGTCAGTCTAAGTCCTTCAGAAGCTTCACAGCTGAGTTATATAACAACCCATCTGTCCTTGCAATATAGGCTGTTCAACCTAGGCCAATGCAAGAGGGAGCAGTCCTTAATGGAATGGCTGGGTGAAGGCATTAAAGATACATGATTGTCACCAAGGGAGACTTGCATGATTAGCAGGGGCTGGAGGACTATAAAGGAGGGGCAGGCATTACTGAGAGAACTAGGTATGAGAAAAGCAATATATGGTATCCAGTTCCCTGGGCCAGATAAGAGTGTGTTCACCAGAGATATGAAAGAAATCTTAATTCAACTGGGACCTCGAGAATGGTATGGGGCTTTAACGGTTTTACTAAGCCCTTTGATGGGCCAGGATCTTTGTAAAGTGAGACAGGCTTTGGCAAATCTAAATGATTCTGACCAGCATGTAAAACGTGTCTGTAAAATAACAGAACACAGACAGGTGTGGTGGCGCATGCCTGTAGTCCCAGCACTTGGGAGGCAGAAGCAGACGGATCTCTGTGAGCTCAAGGCCAGCCTGGTCTACATAGTGAGTTCCAGGACAGCTGGGGCTACAGGGAAATCCTGCTTCAAAAAGACAAAAAATAAAATAAAAAACAGAACACCCTATAAGAGATATAAAAAAGACCAGACCAAAGAAATGGTCCACTTGGGTTACTCGAAGGCAAATGTGGCAAGACTTATGTCAAACCCAAATTCCCAGAGAAAAAATTGATAGAAAACCAAATTCAGTACTAAGGCATTTCTGAAAGGCTTTAAAACCAGAAGAACAGTTTACAAAAGACATTCGAAGGATAAAAACTGTACAAGGTCTCCCCCAGAAACCTGATGTGATCAATGGGAAGATGACAGATATGGCTATGGTCAGGAGGCAGACCCAGAGCTTGCCTGACTCGGGGAACCAACAGTGTAGCGGGGACAGGAGAAGCCCCCTCCCTCCTTAGCCCAGTGCAGCGTCAGGCAACTGGAGCCAACACCTGTAAGTGTATCAAGAATAAAAGAATACAAAAGAACCCCATGTAAAATCCCCCAAGTGCGGCTATTATAAGGGTAGCAATGAACAGGATGAACTGGTGTTTCTGTAGTAAGGTAGAGGTTTTCAGTATATGAATAAGAGTGGTATGATAGATCATATGATAGATCAATTTCTAGCTTTTTAAGGAATCTACTCAAGTGTGTATTTTTAATGCAATATCCCAATAGGCCTTATAGAAAACTAGATGATCTGAAGTTAGCACCTAAAGCCTTTCTTTCATATTGTTATATTTTCTTCTTTGCTGTTGACCATTACTTTTCCTTCTGCTTTATCATCCCCTTGTCTCTCCTTCATCTTGTAATTCTTTTCCTTAAGTTGATGGCCATTGTATATCTTTATTGTGTATGATATAATGTCTTGAAAATATGTAAGCATGTGAAGTGGATAAACTAAAATATGCTTTAACTAACATGCTTATCTTTTATCCACAGTGAGAATACTTAAAATTACTCTTTGATGATTATCAAGTATATAATACATTTTTGTTATTAACTAGTCACTGGGTCATATAGTGGAGCTCTTGAACTTATTCCTCCTATCTAAACCGGAATTATGAAGCCTTTCACCAACATATTCACATACTCTTACCAGCGAACCCTGATCTCTGATTCTGAGTTTTACTCTTTTAGATTACACATATAAGCAAGATCACATGGTATTTGTCTTTCTGTGCCTGGCTTATTTTACTTAATATGCTGTCTTCCAGGTTCATTCATGTTGTTGCAAATCATAGGTTTTCCTTCATTTGTCAGTCTGTGAATAATTTAATTCTGTGTGTTTATCCCAGGTTTCTTGTACCCATTCATGTTAGGTTGACTCTGTATCATGATTGTTATAAATAATCCTTCAATGAACATGGGGACTGGTATTTCTTCAGAATACAGACTTCATGTCTTTGTATAAATGCCCACTAGTGTGAGTGCCTAGGTCTGATGGTAGTTTAATTTTTAATATTTTACTATGCATAGTATTTCTTTTTAATGGAATTTTAATTTTGAGATAATTATAAATTCACCTGCAGTTTTGAAAACTAATACATAGAGATTCCATGTGCCCTTTTCCCAGCTTCCCCTAATGAAAATATCTTGCCAAACTATGATACAATATCTAAGACTTAAGACTACGTTTAATTTTTGAGAAAGCTCCATGCTATTTATTTTTATATATTTATTTATTTGTGTGTGTGTGCGTGTGTGTGTGTGCATGCCATGTGTATACAGGTGTTTACAGAGGCCAGAAGAGGGCGTTTGAGCCCATGAAGCTGGAGTTATAGGTGGTTGTTCGTACTGGGAACTGAACTTGGGTCCTCTGGAGGAGTAGCAACTGCTAAGCTATCTCTCTATCTAGTACCTGGGTGGTGGCCAACTCCATGTTGGTTTTTGCTGGTTTTTTTTTTTTTTTTTTTTTTTTTTTTTTTTGTCTTTTTGAGACAGTGTCTCCCTGTAGGGCCAGCCTGCTTTCACAGAAGTCCACCTGCCTCTGCTTACTGAGTGTTGTGACTAAAGGCATGTGCCACCACCATACCTGGCTACCACGCTATTTTAACTAATGGCTGTCTAGTTGACATCTCTACAGTGTTCAGGAGTCTCCACATCCTTGTCAATGCTTGTTATCTTCAGGCTGTTGACAATGACTAACAGGTGTGAGGTGGTATCTTTTATAGTTTTAATTTCCTTTATCTCCCTCATTTCTTCTTCTTTCAATTTTTTAAATCTTACTATGTAGCCCAGGCTATCCTAATTTCAAGATTGTTCTTCTGCTTCACCCTCCCAAGTACTGGTCTTACAAGTGTGTTTCACCATACCCAGTTTTGAGTAGTTTACATATCCCTATTGGCCATTTGTGTGTCTTCTGTTAAGAAATAGCTATGTTTTTTCTTTCCTATTTTTAAGTGAGTTATTTGTTTTCTTAATGTCTAGCACTACTTATTGAAAATACCATCTACCATTCAGTTAATTGCTTTTTTACCTTTACCAAAACCAGTTCTATATCTTTGGATGTGTCAACTTTTAAGCTATCTTTTCTACTGATTTATGTATCTGTCCCTGCACTTGTATCATGCCATGTAGGTTATGTAGCTAGATAGCAAAACTTGGTATCAAATAAAACTGTTTAGTACACTTTCTTTTTCTTTTCTGAGAATTTTTTTAATCAAACTAAGAACTGTGCTTTTGCTAATAAATTTTATGATGAGTTTGTATATGTGTACAAAAGACCTTGCCAAAAGTTTAATATGAATTCCATCTAACTATAGATCAGTTTGGGGCTGAATGTGTGAGACCACGGACACAATGGATCTGTTCATTTATTTAAGTATCTAATTTCTTTTTGCACACTTTTCAATTTCAGAATACAGATTCTTTACATGTTTTGGTAGTTTTATTGCTGAATATTTCTCTGTTTTGAAATAATAGTTGTAAATGATAATGTTATACTTCTAATTATTAGGTATTCTTTCAGAGAACCTCCTCCCCCAAAAAATATAGGAGTAAAAACAGACCTAAAATCTAGTTTAATAATCTAGTTTCCTCTCTAAAGGAGGCAGAGCCAAGACCTCATCCCAGTGAGGCTGGTGGCCAACTGCAGGCACAGGCTTCCTCTAGGATTCATGGGGCTCACAGTTTTGATTCAATATCTCAGCTGAGGGACCTTGGGCTGTGTTTTCACATCACTGATATTTAATTCCCTTTCACTATAAAATGAAAATAGTGATTCTTTGTTGCCAATAACACTGAGTCAATGTAAGTAATTGAGATAATATGTGACAGAGTATCTAGCATCCCAGTCTTACAAGCCGCCTCATGAGGAAAGGAAGCTTCTTGTTGAAAATGTATTAATTTTCCATTAGAAATGAAAATAGCTCTTTGGAATTGTATTGGTTCAGGATACATAGATCCAGTACCAATAGTGCTTCACATAACTGTAGGTCTTTGTTAATATCTCTTTTTTTTCAAGGGCTCTTGTCATAGTGACAATTTCTGTCCTGGAGTTCTCCTTTTAATGAAGTCATGAGAGCGATAGTGTTAAAGCAGAGGGACGGTCCATAGGAATAAGTTTTTCTCTGCCAAATTTCTTCCAAATGCCTGGTACACCCAGTCTGAGTTTATGTCTCTTAAGTGCCTAATACAATGAGCCTGGACCACAGAGAGTTCACCCATGCAGATTTTTTTTCTCTCTCTCTCTCTTCTTTTTCCAGCAAGGATTGAAAATAGTTCACCATGCAGAGAAGACACTGTCCAGTTTCTGCAAGTGGCAGAAAAGCATCAATCCCAAGAGCGACCTCAACCCTGTCCATCATGATGTGGCTGTCCTTCTTACCAGGTACCTCAGGGACTACACAGAAAGGGGGACCAGCTGAGGAAGCATGGCAACTGAAGGGCCCGTCCGATGTCTCCCTCATGAGATTCTTACTACCCTGTACTGCTCTTGATCACTTGTGAACTATGATCTAGTCAGTTCCTGTTTCACACCAGTGGAGGAGGTAGGTTACTAAACCTGCTAAAGACAAGGCGGTCTTTATAGCTGCATCTACTGGCAAAACATGGGTTTCTTTCCTAGCAAAGATTTTGTCTTTAAAATTAGCTTCTTCACACCAAGAAATCTATTTTCCGATATTTATTTGAAGACTCCTATGATCCTCAACTGGTGGAACAATCCCTTGATTTATAGTTCTTTGGGTTTTTTCTAATTTATACTGTGCAACTCTGCAGGAACATGACTATTTTAACTCACTCCTGACTTAGAATATACAAAGTACATCCTTCCCTGAGCAAGATGATCTGACTATATCCTTCTCTCTTTTACCCTCATTAAATTGTGATTTTTAAGCTGGGGATGTAGTGCAATGGTAGAGCTGTTTCTTGTATAGGTGAGGCCCTAGATCAATCCCCAGTATTGCAAAGACATGATTTTGGTATGGGCACAGATAGGTCCAAAGATGATAATAAAAACCATTGAACCTGTCAAGGCCCAGAACTGGGAAAAGCTAATGAGCTTTCCTAATCACTTGAGGATACTTGAACTCAGTTTGTTCATTGACTCAGTAAATATTTATTGAGTTCCTGCTATATTCAAAAACCCTTTGACACAAAATAAGTGTAACAAGTGGGCTTAATTCTCGTTGGGCACTCTGTGCAGATTCAGAGATACCCAGCAATCTTAGGATGTGTGTTAAAGGAGGCTTCTTCAGCTATGGATTACAAGAGCCTTTGTGCTTTCTTTCATTCTATGCCTGTACAAACTTGTTCAGCAGGAGAGCTTCTGATCCACCCAGGGTATTGATTCTATTAATCTACTGTCATGGGTTTATGCCAAAAGCATCTCTTGGAATATATTTGCATTTAACCAGGTTTTAGTACTTTCACTCAAAAGAATGATTCTAATGGCTGAATTTTCATATGAGGGTAAGAAAGACATATGGATACTGCAGTAGTCATCATCTTTACATTGGGATGATCCTGTCAAAGGGATGGAGTCAACATGTTCTGAGGCAGTCTGTCCTCCACAGGGACAACACATATCCAGGCCTTCTTAGACAAGAGAGAGAATTTAAGTTCCAAAGTCCTCAACCTCAGGACTGTTACCATTGGAGCTGGGTAATTCTTTGTTGTGGGAGCTTTCCTGTGTTTTATATTTGGTCTCTGATCTTTACTCATGTCAGTAGCACTGGATTCCAATGGGTGACAGCTAAAACTGTCTTCAGACATGGCCAAAAGTCCTTTAGGAAAGGAGTAAAAACAAAATCACACTTCCCTCCTCACCTTACTCCAACCCACACTGAAATCTGCTGGTCTGAAAAACTAGGTATAATGAGGAGCCGTGAGACTGAGCCTTGCTGCTGAGTGACTGTTTGGAGTCCCGCATTAACAGTACCTATAGAACTGCATTCAGGGGCTGGAGAGATGGCTCAGCTATTAAGAGCACTGACTGCTCTTGCAGAGGACCCAGGTTCAATTCCCAGCACCCACATGGCGGCTATGAACTGTCCTTAACTCCAGTTCAAGGGGAATCCGAAGCCCTCTTCTGACCTCCAGAGCATTGCACAACACGGGTACATTCACATACATGCAGGCAATACACTCATACACATAAAATAAAAATAATAAATAGAATATCTAAAAAAAGAACTGCATTCAATGGAGAGTAGATTTGGCTAGGAATACACTACATGTGTGTTCCACATGTGAAGCATTCCAAGGCATATTTCCTTATATCGTGTCTTCAATGTTTGGTGGGGATAAAGCTAATCTCTTTTTGTAATACAGAAGTCTTTGTCTCCAAGAATCATGTTCTTATAACTCTTTCATTGCCGCCTGTTTCCTCTTTGGTGCTAGGAACTTGGTAGACACTTTCTAAAAATTGTATAGCAGGCATGACCTCTACCAAACAAAACTGAGTCATTGAATTAGCAATGGTGACATACAACTTTTCCCAGAAGTTCCCTAAAGAGCTTCACTTTTTGGATGAAGTAATAAGGAGCACATCCTGCTTCAGAGGAGGGGATGTATTTAACTGGCCCTCCTATAGAAATGATTTAAATGATGAGGTTGTATGGTCTAGTTCTACAATATTCAACCCTCCAGTAGCTGCTGACAGTGAGGAGTGATTCATGTTCAGGGTGCATCTGGGAGGGTAGAGGCTGCTTTCTCTTGTCCCCAGATCCTACTCAGTGCCACTTAGAGAATTGAAAACTCACATAGGTTTTCAAAATGTATTTTCCATTACCCAAAGCACAAAAATTAGACAACTATTTGCTTCTAGAAATGATGTCCACACACACACACACCATGAGGGAAGATTTACAGCTGAGAACTTGAAAATGTCACTGGTCCTTGTATTAATCAAAAGTAATTGACTAAGAACTTTACTTTTACTGAAGGAAATCTAATACATAATTAATGACTCTCAAAACTCTTGTTAGTGATTGAAATAATCTCTGTAGATTATAAGGACGTGTTTTTATTTTTGAAAAGCTATAACTAAGATTTTCTGAGATCCTGGGAGTCCTTTTTTCTAGCAACATCTTGGTGAAGAAAGGAATACAGGTGCCATGGTGTGCATGGGATGTGCACACATACAGCATCGTCAGTGAAGTGAGACTGGATAAACAATCAGTTTGATCTCTGTGTGGTTAGTATGAATGAGAAAAAATTTTCAGATGAGTTTTGAGAATGAACCTCAGAAAGACCAAACAGGAGTTTCATATCTGAAAACAAACAAAATTGCTGATTGTCCTTTCTTTATTTAAGGCTCAAATTAACTTAAAAAAATTACACGTATGAGTGTTTTGCCTGCATGTGTAGGATACCAGTGCATGCAATGCCCATGAGGCCAGAAGAGGGAGTTGAAGCCCCTGGAACTGGAGTATAGACAAGTGTTAGCTGCCATGTGAGTGCTGGGAACCAGTTCTTCTGCAAGGGCTGCCAGTACTCTTAACTGCTAAGCTATCTTTCCAGCCTGGAAGGCTCAAATTAAATTAAATTTTTAATGAAACCTTTTTATTGGCTAAATCAAATATTAGTTTCCTGAGATTAAGAACAGAAAGTATCACTCAAAATAAAACACCAGAGTTCTCCATGTGTTTTTAGTCTGAGAAATTCAGTAATTAATAAACAAAATATAATGAACCCAGTGAATTCAAATATGCTCCTTATATTCCCATGAACTTTTTAAACAGTCATACTTTAAGGCCTATAATAATGTGGTCAGAGGGACTTAAAGGACAGTTTTTGCTCCTTGCCTACCTAGGTTGACTAAGTTCCAGGGGACTATGGAACATCTCTCAAAATGCCCTGTAACTGTGGTGAGTCACCTGTCCTCTTGTTTGGGGAGGACATGGAGACCCCCACAAGATGGACTTGAGCCAGTGTCCAGTCTACAAAGAGGAGGGTTAACTTAGAGGAAACATCTCATTCATGCTTCTGAGTGAAGCCAGACATGGTCGAGCAGGACCTTTGACTTATCTTCGCATAGATGGAACTGGTAAAAGAAAGGCGCCAGGAGCTCCTCCCAAGCCCATGTGACCCTGAGGAACAGATCCTCAAATGACCTTAAGTGTAAAAATAAATTGATATATTTGGACCAACTATATGGTCTTAGACACCCAAAAGGAAAGTATAACCAAAGAGTAAAGTCATCAGTATATTTCTTTAAGACTTAGACTTCCCAGACATTAGACTTAATTCCATATAAAATGTTATTTAGACAGTTATTTCTTGTTGATGATTTTGTTTCTAAACAGAAAGTGCTGCTCAGATGTAAGACTTCAAATCTTGGTCTCCAATACTGTAGTGCCCACCTGTAGCTAGGGGAGACAAAAAACTATTGCTCTAAAATGATGGATAAATTTATCTCCCCATATTTAGAAGCCTTTGAGAAGGAACTGACACTTGTTCTAACTACTCCAACAGCTATAAAAATACTTGAAAGCAAATCCTGAATCCATCACTCTAGAGTCCAGCCTTGAAAGACAAAAGAAAAATGAGGAGAAACCCAATAGAGGGATGCTTTTGGAAGGCCTTGTCAAGAAATTCCAATAGACTCTCATATGAACATTTGAAAATTGCCCTGTTCTGACTTTTTTCTAGTTCCCTGTCTAGAACCTGTAATGCTAATTACTCTTGCCTTTACTTCTCCTTCACATCCCCTATTCATGATTCAACGACTTTCTTTTCCCCCCGCTAGAGATAAGAATTATGCAATTTCGGAGTCTTATAGATAGACCTACTGAACAGGCACTCCAACTGCCTCTCCCTGCATCCCTGTTCAGCATGGCAGAAGCCAGAGTGGTCTGCGTCCCAATTCCCTATTGGCAATTTGGGTAACTCCTTCAGAGGATGGCTTGATAAGAATAGGAGGTAGGAACTGGCTAAGCAGGTAGGGTAAAAAGACCCCAAGGAAAAGTAGCCAGTTTCTTGACTAAAAGTCAAAATGTCCTTGGGACTGTTAACAACATGCTCTGTTCCAAAGGCCAAAAATGTCAAAAGTATTTGGGAGCTTGTATCTAATCCTTAAAAGATTTTAGGGTTATATCTTCAAAGGGGGGAATGTTAGAGCACCCAAAAGCTCCCAAAAAATAAATAAATGAAAGAAGAAAAGAAAAAGTAAAAAAGTAATGGGGAGATATGGAGGGTGCTGCAAGGGAGGGAGTGGGCACGGATTTGATCAAAACACCTTATATGTATGTATGAAATGCTCAATAAAGTTTTTGTAAAAGCTAAAAAACTTTTAAACATGCTTTAAAGACAAAAATAAACAAGTTTATCCCAAGGTGTTTTTATCAGAGGTTTTCCCAAATAGTTGTCTGTTGCCTAAGCATCTCTGTTCTTTGCCTTCAGAAAAGACATCTGTGCTGGTGTTAATCGTCCCTGTGAGACACTGGGCCTTTCTCAACTGTCAGGAATGTGCCAACCTCACCGGAGTTGTAACATCAATGAAGACTCTGGCCTCCCTCTCGCTTTCACCATTGCCCATGAACTCGGGCACAGGTAAATGGCCAAGGCATCTGAGATCCTCTTGCCATGTTCATGCATCAGGATCTGTGCAGCAAATAGAAAGATTCATTTTCCATGTGGCATAGGCTCATCCTCCTAGACTTAAGCACCTTCATCTCTAGAGTGGGGATAACAGCATTCTTCATAGCCTTCAATGTCTCCTCTACTCTGACTGCTTGTACCCATTATACATTAGAAACAATAGGGACTTTTTATAAAGGTAATGTTTGGTTGGTTGGCTGGTTGGCTGGTTGGCTGGCTGGCTGGCTGGCTGGCTGGCTGGCTGGTTGGTTGGTTGGTTGGCTGGTTGGCTGGCTGGCTGGCTGGCTGGCTGGCTGGTTGGTTGGTTGGTTTTGAGTCTTACTGTGTAGCCCATCCTGACGTGGAACTTATTATGTAGATCAAGCTGGTCCCTAATTCATGACAATCCTACTGCCTCAGCTTTTCAAGTACTAGGACTATAGGCATGAGCTTCTCTGTCCAACTTGAAATAACAGTATTAGTATCACTAAAGAGACAAACTTAACTTTGAGCTTTACTTTGTGCTGTTGGGTTTTTCACTGGGTCATAAATGCACTCAGCAATCATGAAATGCATACTATTTTAGCCCCATTTTCCTTATATGGATATTTGTTAAAGGATAATATTGAATGAGTACAAACTTGAAAACTTCTAACTTGAAAGGACCATCAAGTACACACTAGTTAGTAGAGTGTTCAAGCTGTTGCAAAAATGTATTTTGACTAGAGCATCCCTGGAGGGTAGGTTTTATAATGTTTGAATGTTGTGATGAGGATTCTGGATCTTTTCCATGAGGAAAAGTTCATCACTTATCATGGCTTTGTTTGTCAGTGATACACTAACCACAAATCTAAGAACATCATACTAACAGGAAATCCAAAGTGGGAAAGCCCATGAGTAGCTAAATTGTCCCCAGTGCCTGGTAAGCCCCCAAAAGCATCTCTACAGGGATTACCTATAAAGAAGAACAAAGCTTAGGGTATACTCTGAGTGAACAATTAGAAAAGAATCCAAATTTGGAATAACCCCAGAGATGGGATTGTATCAGGTATGGCCTCTCCAAGCTGGGCTCGCTCACCATTATCCCATAAAACATATAACTTTTCAAAATAATTTTATCTGCACAACAAGACCATAAGGTTGCCTTGGGAGTTGGATACAGTGAGTGCTTGCTTTGACTTTTTCATCAGTATTATGACCTATATAAGCTCCTTTACCTTATCATACCTATTTCATCTCTTAAATGAGTAGGCTGAACCAAACAAACTCATAGGTGCTGTGGTTTATTAGATTCTCACATCACAGGCCTAGAGATAAATGTGATATATTTTAATATCCTTAGTTGTCAACAATTCAGAGATAAAGAAGGTAGATGACTTGCTTATAATTAAATAATAGAGACCTGGAGGAGCTACAACAAAATCCTAATCTTGTTAAGACGGTCATTGTCTTTATAATCAGTGTTGGTCTTAGCAAAATGAAAATTATGCTTGTGTACTGACATTCAGATATTCTTAATCCTGCTATGTGGAGGGATGAGGTTCATGAAGCCTCTCGTGGAGCCACTGGTGTCAACAGCACCTTCTAGCAAATGAATATTATAGAGTAGTACTGAGAAGCGATTGCTTAAGATCTTCCCAGCAACCATATACCCAGACAAAAGAAAAATTGAAAAGACTTAGCTTGATCAAAGCTACATGCAAATGCTATTTGTACTCAGGGAATGAATTCTTTATATTGTCAGGTTCAATCGGACTTTATAAAGAGAAACATGATAAGCCAGTCTTCCAACAGCAACTTGGCCCTAGTTCTGAGACAATCATTGGTATAACTATCTGGGCTTATATCAACGCCTTTGTGAGGAAGGTTGTATATCAGAAGTGATGGACTGTTTTGCAGAAGGGAACTGGGCACTATCTCAATCAGTTTGTTATTGAACTAACCGAGGTTAAACTGAATACTAGTTTAGAGCTGGTATGGAAATAAAACTACTGTATGGATTTCTTATCTAGTGCTTTTGTTATCACTGATGTTCTATATCATATTATGCAAGGGAAAATGAAGATCTTGTTCTAAAAATGATCCTTCCAGTAAAAAAGTCAAATTCTGAAATAAAAGAACACTTAAGGTAAAACTAGGTGAATTCTTTCTGTTTTGTTTTTTTTTTTTTCCTTGTTGCCAGACTTGAAGTTGATAAAGCCAGAAACAGGAGACAAATAGAAAATTAGCCTGTTCTTTTCAGACAGAGGAACCTGAAAAGGATGATGTAGCAGACAGAAAACTTTCAGTCAATAATGCCTTTATTCAATTCAAATATCAGAGGAAAAAGAAAAGATCTGTGCGTCTTATGCTAGCCTGCCAAAAAGGCTTCATAGGACTCCAGGAGATTTTGTTTGATCTCTCTAGGGCCTGAGTGAATGCTCCTGTAGCTTCAGTCCTGTAGTAAAATTACAGACCTTGTGGAAATCCCACATCCTCCCAGAAAGTTAGCAAAGATCTCTCTCTCTCTGCCCCCCACAATACAGGTATGGGTGTACCTTCCATGATTTTTTTAAACTCTAAGAAATAAATAGAAATTTCATTAACCTTATGAAGCACATCTACAGAATAACGCAGCTAACATTACATTTCATAATGTAAGACTGGACATGTTCCTTTTCTGCTCAGAAAAAGGCAAACATACCATTCCTATTAGATTTTTTTACAGATAATGGTAAAAATTTCAGTGAGTGTGATAAGGCAAGAAGAAGAAATGAAAGGTACACAGACTTGAAAGGAATAAATAAAACTATGCTGTTTGAAGATCGCATTTATAGGATTCACAGGAAACACCACAGAATACATATAAAAAACAGTTAAGGAAAATAGAGTTAGTGGCCAGGCGTGGTGGCGCACGCCTTGAACCCCAGCACTTGGGAGGCAGAGGCAGGCGGATCTCTGTGAGTTCAAGGCCAGCCTGGTCTACTTAGTGAGTTCCAGGCCAGCTGGGGCCTGTCTCAAAAAGACAAAAAAAAAAAAAGAGTGAGTTCATCAGAATGATAAGAAATAACATAAACATGTGGAATCAATCACGTTTCTGTTTCCTAGAACAGGTAGGGACTGAAAGTAAATTTTTAATTCCATTATCACTTGTAATTTGATTTTGATTTTGGGCCTTCAGAGTAGCAAATTATTTCTCTTAAGCTACTAAGTTTGTGGTACTTTCTTTTTTTTTTTTTTTTTTTTTTTTTTCAGAGCTGAGGACCGAACCCAGGGCCTTGCGCTTGCTAAGCAAGCGCTCTACCACTGAGCTAAATCCCCAACCCTAGTTTGTGGTACTTTTTACGGAATCCCCAGGAAACTAACACACTATTACTGAAGAAAGAACTGGTGTCTAGAATATATAAACAACTTTGAAAAATCAACCATAAAAACATATAGTTAGACGGGGCAGAAAGGCTGTAAGAGCCAGGGGTAGTGTATGAACACAGAAGAAAAAGGTTTTCCAAGTGACTGAGAACTCGCTCATATGAACTCAGAGCAATGATGGAAGGATGCACAAGGCCCATGCAAACTCAAAGCAGACAAAAACACAGCATAGAACTGGGGAAAGAGCAGGAGGCCTCAACCTTAGCTGAGGTGCTATTGGCCACTGATCACCGCTGGGCAAGTGAGAGTTGGTCTTCTTTAAGGGAGTGACAATAGATAGGCTGACCAGGCTTCAGTGGATGAGCTCACACTGAGGGACATCTGGGGACACAAACTTGACTAGTTGGTCCTTAAAATATGTGACAGAATCTCTGAGATCTGGTGGGAATGCTTTGGCCAGATAGGGAAGGGGTTCTAAATATGATTAAGATGTATTGTATGAAATGCACAAAAATTATATATATATAAGCTCCTTCACCTTATCATACCCATTTCATCTCTTAAATGAATAGGCTGAACCAGACAAACTCTGGGTGTGGTGGCATGCACCTTTAATCCCAGCCCTCAAGAGGCAGAGGCAAGGTGGATCTCTGGGAGATGGCAGCTACCCTGGTTCACATTGTAACTTCCAGGAAACCTGTGACTAGGGAGACCCTGCCAAAGAAAAATCAAAGAGAAATAAAATAACAAAAAGAGCAAAAGGACCAGCAACTCTGCCAGCCCCAAACCCTGAGTCAAAGCAAAGTGTCAGGACAGTATGACAACTTTAATGATTCAAATAAAATTAACTATTACTTTATGATCATGTGATTTCTGTCCTTGAATCTGTTTATATGGGTAATTACATTTATTGATTGATGCTCGTTGAGCTATCCCTGCATCTTTAGGTTGAAGTCAACTTAATCATGTTGTATCATCTTTTTGATATGCTCTTGCAAATATTTGATTTATAAACATTTTAGTGAGAATTTTTGCCTCTAGAAAGTGTACTTTGGTGTTTGGGTAGACTGTTCTCTAGATGTCGGTCAGTTCCATTTGATTTGTGATACCATTTAAGTCCAGAATTTCTCTAGCTACTCCCTGGTTGACCTGTCTATTGGTGACAGTGGAGTATTGAGGTCACTTACTACCATTGTGTTAGAATCAATATGTGATTTTTAGATCTAATAATTTTCTCTTTTGAAATTGGATTTCCTGTGTATAGTGCATACATATTTAGGACTGTACTGTCTTTGTAGTGTATTTTTCCTTTAATGAGTATGAAATGACCTTCCCAGTCTCTTCTGACTAGTTTTAGTTTGAAGTCTACCTTGTTGGTAGTTCCATTTGGAATACCTTTTTCTATCCTTTAACCTTAACATGGCATCAATAATTACTTTGGAGGTGTGTTTCTTGGAGGCAGAAAACCAATGAATCCCATTTTCTAATCCCATCGGTTAGTCTGTGTCTTTTTACTGGGGAGTTGAGAGCATTAATATTGAGGGTTATTATTGACCAATGTTTACTAATTCCTGTTATGTTGTTGCTGTGGTGCTGTTTTCTTAGACCTCTATTGGTTGACTATT